AGTGGAGCGGCTGGGACTAGAACCAGCACCCATATGGGATGCCAGCACCGCAGGCAGAGGATTAACCTACTGTGCCTAGGCGCTGCCCACCACCCCAGTTTTAAATATAAACCACCTTATCCTAAATTTGACATTTCCATGAAAAAAAATTAAACTACATTTGCAATCTTAACTTTTTTCTTATTTTAGCACTTCAATTGCCTACAAAGCAAACCTTTTTAAGTACTCAAAAAAACTCTAGTAAATCTTAAAAAACAAACTTAAACATTAAAAGTTCCCAAATATGACAAACTTAGAAAAGTTTTCTTGCATTCTTTTTTTTTTTTTTTGACAGGCAGAGTGGACAGTGAGAGAGAGAGACAGAAAGGTCTTCCTTTGCCGTTGGTTCACCCTCCAATGGCCGGCGCACCGCGCTGATCTGAAGGCAGGAGCCAGGTACTTATCCTGGTCTCCCATGGGGTGCAGGGCCCAAGCACTTGGGCCACCCTCCACTGCCTTCCCGGGCCACAGCAGAGAGCTGGCCTGGAAGAGGGACAACCGGGACAGAATCTGGCGCCCCGACCAGGACTAGAACCCGGTGTGCCGGCGCCACAAGGCGGAGGATTAGCCTACTGAGCCACAGCGCCGGCCCTGGTTTACATTTAAACACTGTTTCCAGACCTCTTAACATTTTGACCAGAAGTTCAAACCTTAAAAATAGCAAAGCTGCCTTTAAATTCTCAGCATTAGTAAAATGATAAACAACCATCTCGATTCTAAATTCCACAGTATGACAGATGTAAATAATACGGGACTCTAAAAGAGCATGCATAGGTGGTACAAAGGATTACAAAGTATCTTTGTTAACCCAATAGCATACTACAATACTACTTTTTGCTCATTCAATGGACAGACTGAAATATACTGTTTGGCAGGATTATGGGAAATGGGCACTCTGTTGAATTTATAATTTTTCTGAAGGATAACTTAGCAACGTATTTCATTAGCCCTGAAAAAATGTGCCTGTATCCTTAGGTCGAAAAGCCACTTCTACAACTTTGTAGAATGGGAATAATAATAATGAATAGATGCTTTAATAAAGATATTCATCGCAACAATTTGTAATAGGGTATCACACTGTGAAAATACACATTTGGTCTTGTCTCCACTTCCTGGCACAGAACTCCTGAACTCTTTGTAAGCCTCCAAGTGCTAAGTGTCTTTCTGATGATAATAAGATGACCCGAGGTTGGCAGCCCTAAGTAGTTTCAGGATGGGTGTCAGACACAGAAAAGACCAAGGAATAATTCAGCCCTAGTCCCCAGCTTTCAGGGAGGGAAGTGGGTTTACCTGTAAGCTGAGCACTGACATGATTTAATCAATCATCTGACGAAGCTTCCCCCAAATGCACAAGGGCAGAGTTGGGATGAGCCTCCGGCTAGGTGCATACGCACAGGTTCCTAGAGGGAGCCCCAGAGAGCACAGAAGCCATACACTCCTTTTCCCATACCCCCACCATGCATTGCTTCACCTACATCCTTTATCATATTCTCTATAAGGAACCCATAAATGGGAAGGTTTGCCTAAGTTCTATGTGCCCCTCTAGCAAATTAATGGAAGCCAAGGAAGGGGTCAGGGGAAGCCAGATTTATGGCCAGCTGGTCAGAACTACAGGTAAAACAACCCGGGCCATGATTCTTTCCATGACACCACACTGCTTGGCCAGGCTAGCCCGATTAAGTAAGAACAGAGATGTGGTTTACCTAACATTTATTACTTATCATAAAACTTACTATTAGTGATAATTACAACCTGAACAGCAGCATTTCCTGAGAATTTACAGTTTGTCAGGCATGGTTCTAAGCACTTGATGAATTAACTAAAAGCCCTCAGAGGTAGCACTATTACTGTTTTTGGAGACACAGAAAACGAGGAGTACCTTATCCAGGCTAATAAATGAAGAAGCCAAGATTTGAACCGCTGCAAGAGTGACTTCAGTCACTATCCAGAGAAGTATAAGTAGGCCACTATTGAGCATAAATTTTAATGGCTTTGAAGTGAGATGAACTTAAATTTGAATACAGGCTCAGCCTCTTATGAGGTGTTAAGACTTTGGGTAAATAATCTCTTTATCCATAAAACGGATAATTAAATGGGACAATGATGTGAAACCATTTAGTGTCTGGTGCATAATGAACACTAATCATTCAGCCCTTACTATTTCTATTACTTTCATAAACATACAAGAACAATCAAACCATGCCTAGTTTGGGGACTCTAAACCAAAATATCCAAAGGCCCTCTTCTTTCAACCATACTTTCAGTCCTGTTATTCCAGAAATGCATGTATGATTCCAATAATCTCATTTTCCATACAACATTAAGAAATTTACTGACTCAGATTAGCAGTTAGATTAACCTTACATTGTATCACAGAGATACCTATTAACCTTGGTAAGAACAACAATATACCTAAGACTACAACTTCAAAAGATTTAGGACACGGCTCAAGCATCTAACACGTAATAAAAGTTCACTGAAGTGTTTGTCTAAACCTATATTAAATCATTTTTAAAAACACGGAGTTCCTGACATCTTGCGGGTTCTACATAACTACCTGCTTGCTCTTATTTGTCCTTCCACTGCTTATTTCAAGCTTCACAGGGTTCCTGTCTCAATATTGCCACTCTTGATGATCTAGACAGCTGGATCCTATTCTCCTTCAACCTCTAATCCTCCCAGATAATACTGCCTTTGTAGCCACAGGGGAAGTCTCTCCATTTCCTTCATCTACTTATAATTTAATCTCTCTGGATCTTTTCTATTTTTGAAAATATTTTTCTTGGTGTGAGTGCTAAGAGTATTGGGCTTGGGGCCAGGAGTCCTCAACTCTGCCAACTCATTTCTCAAGACTCGACCTGAAAGCTGAGAGAACTGCACTAGATACATTTCTAGTAGGTTCCCTTATATCGCTAAGCCTCAAATTTCCAGGACTCTAGGTCTTCCAACTGGAAACCATTTGGTAAATTCCCCCAAACTTTTTGCCCCAGTTAGCCAAAGGACAGAGGAAGACACAGTCATCAGGACACCCCGACTACACAAGGAAAGACATGACAGTGTGCGAATCAATAGAAAAAGCTCAGAGTAAGAACTCAGATGCCGAGGACTGGAAAAAAGAACACGAGGCCTACCACTAACCTCGTCTCTCCTTGAAGGGGGACTAAGAAACAGAAAAAGCTTCAGGCAGCAGCAGTGGTCACTCAGCCCTCACTTCTGCCTCACGGGCCCAATGCGGCCATGTGCCATACCACAGTATTGTCAACAAAATGGCCCACCACAGTACTTGCACAAACAGGCACTACTCAGATTTTTGGCTGAATTCATACAAAGCTGCAAGCCCTCCTGAACGCTGTGGTGCTATCCTCACATACCAGACTCGGAGAGCTCAAGACCACGGGAGTTACATGGCGCAGGCTGCTCTGCTTCTATCTCTAGGGAGAGACAGAGCTGCGGGCAGGCTGATTTGGCCTAATGGCATTGCTGAAGCCCGGCTGATGGTGGAAGCTGCCTCCATCAGCAAAATGAACAGTTCAGTCAGGCAGAGGCGCCGGATCTCTGAGCCACCGAGGCAGTATGGGCATATGTACAAAAGTCACTTCCTTCCCTAGTGTCGGAGTCCAGGACAGCACTAGCTTCTCCCACTGCCTTCCTGAGCCTGACTGGGGGCAGGGGAGGAGCAAGTCAACAGTCTTCAAACCTGCAAACGCAGCCGCAGCCGGGGTGTTGTGGCACCCTGGGATAATCTGTGGTCTGGGACACTCACACCTCCTTTCAGAGTCCCACCTCCGCATGCAACCCAGCATTCCTGCCAATACTCCTAGGAGGCCACACGGAGTTCAAGGCTCCTGGCTTTGGCCTGGCCCAGCCCCAGCCGTTGCGGATATCTTGGAGTGAAGGGAAGGTATCTCCCCACCCTCCCCCCTCCCCTGGCCTTTTAAGTAAATAAACTTTAAAAAACATAATAAAAATAAATAAATGCTTAACACCCCAAGCCTAGCCCCATGTGATGTTTTTCTAAGTGGGGTTCAGCAAGAGACCATTTTAAATGCACACTCCGAGACCCCCTTCCCACCCCCCAAGATCTCCAGACTCAAATTTCTGGGAGGGGCGCTAGGGTTGGCTGGGCAACTGTGACCTGACCAAGGAGCAAGTCTGCACCCTGGGACTGGGGGTGGGCGGGTGTTAAGGGTGAAGTCCTCACACTGGAGTCATCATATCCGAGTGACACTACCCCAGCACTTTGCCGAGGGGCCCTTTCACAAGCCCTCAGTCCCCCAGCTAACAGTTGCAGATAAATGGTTTAACAAGGTCGGAGCACCAGGGACTGGGAACCGTATTTTCGTGAGCGAGTTAAACAGTTCCCTCACAGCTTTGTTTACCCAGCTTAGTCCCACCCCCCCCCCCCAAAAAAAAAACCAACAAAGAAAAACAAACCTGGGTTCTCGTTTAAAAATAAAGCGGTTCGACCCGGGAATTCTGGGGCAGAACCGCAGGCCGCGGCAGAAGGCGGCTCCTGGTCGGCAGGGCCGGGCTGGCGGGCCCGAGGCGGCTCTGCCCTGCAAGGCAGGCTCGGTCGGGGGCACGCGTGGGGCAGCGGGGCGCGAAGGCCGAGCAAAACCGCTCCGCTCCACGCAGCTGAGGAGGAAGTCCCACCAACTACTCGCTTGGCAGCGGAGTCCATGACTCGCCGGAATTAGCCCAAGCGTCCGGCCCGCGAGCACCCCCGGCTCTCGGGACCCCCCAGGCCCGCACGCGGCCGCCGCCGCACGGGGTTCACCGCCTCCACACGCCCAGACCCCCGCTCCCCGCCCGTGCGTCCCGCAGCGGCCCGGCCCTGCCCTGCCCTGCACGGGGCCCCGCGGCGTCCTCCCGAGACGCCGCCGGGACACAAAGGCCAAGCCCCGGGCCACGCCCGCCGCGCCGGGTCTCGGCCCCCGAACCCTCGCCGCGCCGCCACTTACTCGTCGCTCGCCGCCGCGCTCCGGCGCTCGGGGCCCGAATCCGCCCGGGAGGCGCGCGCAGCGCCGCGGAGACCGGCAGTGCCGCAGGGCGCGCCCCCCGCCCCGGCCCGCGCGGCCACGCGGCTGAGTCACCCGCCGCTTCACGTTAAGAGTCCCCTCGCGCGGGGCACGCCGGGAGTCCCCCGCGCGGGTGGCGGGGCGCGAACCGCCTCCTCCCTCGGCCGGCGCCCGCGGCTCTCGCCCGCACAGGGCCTGGGAGGTTGGGTTTCCGAGCTGCGGGTATTCGGAGGCAGTGAGGTCAGCTCGCGCCGCACCCGCTTGCGGGGACCGGGCGGGAAGTAACCGGGTCGGAGCTCCTTAAACGCGCCGCGCTCCGAGGCTCCTGTCCGGGGAAAGCATCCCGGCCAGAACAAGGAGGGGGAAAGCCGCGTTCTGCTCAAGCCTTGGGCTTCATCTAAATGCCCGCAGTATTAACAAACTTTAAAGCAACCAGAAGCAGAGGACTGGAAAACTGGTCGTGGGTTATGAATAAAATACCTAAACACTCAAAAACTTCACATATGTGGTCCGTGTGCTCTAAGACGACTGCTGGGGAAAAAAAAAAAAAAAACAGCGCCGGTTCTTTCTAGTGGCTTTGTGTACTTAAAAATACTATCATACTAATTAAATTGTCCTGATGATGCAAATTATTCTCTTTTTAAAAGACCAAAAGCCATTATACACTAGTAATAGCGTGACTTCTAAGCTCTGAGTCAATTTTCTTTTCCCTTACAAGAGAGTCCCTGAAAACCAATCTGGGACTAAAGGTTAGGACTGGGGTCGAAGTGGAGGCCACGCCAGAAAATAGTTGGAGTCTCCATTCCAGCAGATTGCAAGTGGCTGAGGCGCTTGAACGGCAAAATGGCTTTATTGGGACAACGACTGGAGCTTTCCAAGCCAAGGGCGGCGATGTTTTCACCTCGGATTTGGGCGTGGAGGCCCGGCGGACCGCTCCCACCTTCCTTCCCTGTGTTGTCACTGGAGACGCGGCCCTGGCAGCCCTCCACCGCCCTGCCTTCCCAGCTGCGTCCGGCTCTGGCCGTCTGCCCGGCCGCGGACTGGGCGCCCTGCCGGGCTGGGCTCCGGCCGGAGGTGGCCGCCCACTGCTGCGCACACTTCATTGGCCTCAACTTGTCACCAGGCCCACGGAGGCTGTGAGGCGGAATTTCCTGTGCGCCTGGGGAAAAGCAACCGTGGCCTTGGTGAGCACTTGACACTGTCTCTGGCACAGTGTTCAAGAACAAAAAGAAACGTAAACCACTATGACTCGGCGGTATAGGATCCAGACTTCAAGAGCAAAGCTGCATAACAGATCTCCCGAACTATGCCTGCATTTGCATTTCCATAAAGTCCAGTGCTACGGCTTTCCTCTCAAAAAAAGAAAAAAAAAACAACCTTTGATGGTCCTGTAAGACATGCCTTGGACCAGATTTTTCTTTTCTGGGAAGATTTTTCTATGTTTATGACTTAGAAAATCCTGGCCCAAAGTTTGGAGAATCAGGCTTACACAATGTCTTCTATTATTATTATTACTTTGTATTTTGGACATTAAGGACACAGAAAGACATATTAAACACCTGTTACCCATCATCCAAAAGGAGTAAATGATAATATGCTTTTAATTAATAGCTAAGTCCACATAGTTCAGTTTTTGGCCTAAGCTTCATATAATCAATAGCTCATCAGATCTGATACTGTTTCGAGGTAAACATCCAGAAATTATAAATGGATATTCACAGAAAGCACAAGTATATGCCAATTTTTGTTTCATTTTATTTCTAATTTAATTCGTCTCAAAATCCTGAGTCTCTGAGATGTATTGTATCTGAAGCTGAAAAACCCCTTCTTCTTTTTTTTTTTTTTTTAATTTTGACAGAATTAGAGAGAGACAGAGAGAAAGGTCTTCTTTCCCTTGGCTCACCCCCCAAATGGCTACTGAGGCCAGAGCTACGCCAATCCGAAGCCAGGTGCTTTATCCTGGTCTCCCACGCGGGTCCATGGGCCCAAGCACTTGGGGCCATCCTCTACTGCCCTCCCGGGCCACAGCAGAGAGCTGGACTGGAAGAGGAGCAACCGGGACTAGAACCCGTCACCCATGGGATGCCAGCACTGCAGGTGGAGGATTAGCCAAGTGAGCCACGGCGCCGGCCAGAGAAACCCCTTATAATATCAAATTTGCAGTCCTGGAATTGTTGGCTGTTGTAATGGCCAATTTAATACACAATATAATTCATCTCATTAACTGGGTTATTTAAGTCTCCTTAAAAATAGTATCTGCTTACTAGTAAATATTGCAAAACAGTCTTCCCAATATCTTATTTCACTTAGACTTCACAACCACCATGGGAGATGGATTTTACACTTGGATTTACAATGAGGAAAACAAGACATAAGTACAGAAATCAAGGCTATAACACTAAATGGTGCTTTAGGCTGAGAACCCAGGGCATCGGCCCCCAAGCTTCTTCCTCACTGCGCACTGAACACAGGACAGTTCCACCCAAATGCTCCCGGGGGAACTCCCCAGCAGTTCCCGGAGGCTCAATGCCTTCAGCCATTAACACCAAACAACTGCTTTAAGGTTGACGCTATCTTAAGAATGAAAATATTTAGGGGCCAGCACTGTGGCGCAGCGGGTAAAGCCTCCGCCTGCAGTGGCGGCATCCCATATGGGCACCGGTTCAAGTCCAGGCTGATGCACTTCTGATCCCGCTCTCCGCTATGGCCTGGGAAAGCAGTAGAAGACGGTCCAGGTCCTTGGGTCTCTGCACCTACGTGGGAGACCCAGAAACTCCTGGCTCCTGGCTTCGGATTGGCACAGCTCTGGCTGTTGTGGCCATTTGGGGAGTAAACCAGCAGATGGAAGATCTCTCTCTCTCTCTCTCTCTCTCCATAACTCTGCCTTCAAATAAACAAATAAATCTTTAAAAAATGAAGATATTTTTAAAAAGTGGCTATTGCAAAGCTAATTATCCGTTCTACCTAATACAGCATATGTAGTAAATATAAAAAGAAATTTGAAATTCCAAGATTTTTAAACTCTATTTTTAAAGATTTATTTATTTATTTGTTTATTTGAAAATCAGAGTTGCACAGAGAGAGGAAAGGCAGAGAGAGAGAGAGAGTTCTTGCATCCGCTCGTTTACTGCCCAATTGGCCGCAATGGCCTGTGCTGTGCCAATCTGAAGTCAGGAGCCAGGAGCTTCCTCCAGGTCTCCCAGGTGGGTGCAGAGGCCCAAGGATTTGGGCCATCTTTTACTGCTTTTCTAGGCCATAGCAGAGAGCTGGATTGGAAGAGGAGCAGCCAGGACTTGAACCAGTACTCATATGGGATGCCAGCATTGCAGGCGGTGGCTTTACTCGGTATGCCACAGCGCCGCCCCTAAACTCTATTCTATTTTTTTTTAAGGATTTATTTTATTTATTTGAAAGGCAGACTGACAGAGAGAGAGAGAGAGAGAGAGAGAGATCTTCCATCTGCTGGTTCACTCCCCAAATGGCAGTAACATCCAGGCTGAAGCCAGGAGACAGGAACTCCAGCTGGGTCTCCCAAGTGGGTGCAGGAACCCAAGCACTTGGGCCATCATCCACTACTTTCCCAGACACATTAGCAGGGAGCTGGATCGGAAGTGGAGGCATCAACACACCCTAAGACCAGAAAAAGAGAAGCGAACATCAAGGGCCTCTTGGGGGAAGACAACACCATCTAAAATGAGGCAAACAAACCTCAGTCTGAGCCCACCCTGAGATCCTGCTGCCAGTTTATAGGACACACAGGGAACAGAAGAACACACTGAACCAGGAGCGTGCCATCTGCAAAGTCCTGCCCTGAAGATGCTACAGGCCCAGAGGCCTCTGTGCTGCGGGAGACAGCAGAAAGTTAAGAAACAGAAAGATAAAGGCATGGATGTGGCAAGGGAGACAGACCAGTCCAGGGGAACACCTTTGTCTGCTAAAACGTTTATAGAAAAACGGGACTGAAAGTGACTAAAAGTCAGGGAAAAGCTTACCTCTCGGGTGGGGAGCGCAGTTATGATGGAGAACGGAGGACGGAAGAGGCCTCTAGGATAAGGAGAAAAGCTTTGTCTCTCTGACGCTGGGTACAGGACCCTGCCTACCAGTAATCCATTACGGCAAACACTTCCTTCGTGTGCTTGGCTGTCTCTATGTCTTATTTTACATTACAGCATTTCAAAAGAAAAAAGTTTGAGAGATCAGCCCTACCCATGAACTTAAAGATAGTTTCTCCTCACCAAGCTATTTGCAAATTATATCCATTTGCTCTTCTGGGACACTATTCAGATTAAGTCCCGGCTGCTCCACTTCCAATCCAGCTCTCTGCTATGGGAAAGCAGTGGAAGATGGCCCAAGTCCTTGGGCCCCTGCACTCACATGGGAGACCCGGAAGAAGCTCCTGGCTCCTGGCTTCAGATCAGCGCAGCTCTGGCCGTTGCAGCCATCTGGGGAGTGAACCAGAGGATGGAAGACCTCTCTCTCTCTGCCTCTCCTCTCTCTGTGTAACTCTGACTTTCAAATAAATAAATAAATCTTTAAAAAAAAAAAAAGGTTAAGTGACTTAAAAAGAGAACTAAACATCTCATGAAACACCAGAGCCTTTGAAAGATCCTCACACTTTTGGAACTGTGTTTCAATATTTTGAGTGTGAGAGCATGGGTATAATAGGACAAGGGAGGATAAGGAGACCAGTGTCCAGTCATGGCCAAGAGAGTAATCTGGAGGCATTTCTCAATGGTGTTTTGACGAGGGCATGAGCCCGAGAGTCTGGAGCGGACTAGAAGTGCCCTGGGCAGGCAGGGGTGGGGAGGTACAGAAGCGTGGCAGCCTGGGTGCAGCACAGGCTGGTTGTAAGCTGATAAAGTGTTTTTCCCTTGTGACTCCTGTTGCCAGTTTGCAGACAGACCCTGACTGACTGCACTGGCCCGGTGCCAGCTCCGGGGCTTGTGAATACACAGTTCCCATTCCTGCGCCCCATGCTGAGAGTCCTGGGAAGGTGTTTTTGTTTGTTTTTCCCTAGGCGAATTTAAAATAAATCATATTTGAAAAGGAAAATAAAAATAA